ATATTTTACTTTCTTAACCACTGTTAAACCTGTCTCATTCTGAAACCTCTCTCTTTCAATCGGTGTTAAAATTTTTTCTAATACCTTGGTTTTTAACTTATTCAATTTAAATCCTGCCACTTGACCAAATTCTTGAATCAGTTCTAAAACCCTTTTAGTGCTAGATTCTGGCTCCTGTAACGTCAATACTAAGTCATCTGCAAATGCTCTCAATTTGTACTGTTTAGTTCCGACCTGTATACCTTTAACCAGCTGGTCCCTTCTGATCATATTCAACAAAACCTCCAGGACCGAAATAAAAAGTAGTGGGGAAATTGGGCAACCTTGTCGTGTCCCTTTTTCAATTTTAAGTTCTTCCGTCACAACATTATTTACAATTAGTTTAGCCTTTTGTTCTGAATAAATTGCACTTATACCATTCTCAAAACCTTGGCCTACCCCCATACCCTGTAGATTCTTCTTCATAAAATTCCAAGAAATGTTGTCAAAGGCTTTCTCCGCGTCTACAAATATCAATACTGCTTTAGTGTTTATATTCACTTCTAATTTTTCCAAGATATCAATTATATTCCTCAAATTGTCAGACAAATGTCTTCCTGGGAGAAAGCCCGCTTGGTCTTTGTGAATCTCTTCCATCAACACTTTTTAAATCTCTTCGCCAAAATATCTGCAAAAATTTTGTAATCCACATTTAGTAATGATATAGGGCGGTAGTTCTTAAGTTGTGTCTTTTCAGTCTCTGTTTTTGGTACAAGTGTAATATACGCTTCTTTCCACGACTCTGGTGCTCTCTTTCCCTCCATTATTTCATTGCAGACCTCTTTCAATGGTTGAATTAACCATTCTTTTAAAGATCTGTAGTATCTTGAGGTCAAACCATCTGGTCCTGGAGATTTACCTAGTTGCACCAAATACTTAGATTTTAAGTTGAGCTTTCAAATAAAGTTTTGTGTTTATTTTTTCCCACCTTTTCTACGGTTACTTGAAGTTACACATAGCTTGATGGTTATATGGATAATGTTAGGCTTCAAGGAATCAGTTTCCTCTCCTGTGGCAGTAGATAAGCAGAACAAAGGAAAAGGAGTCTTCTTACCAGTTAGAAACTATTATTAGAAACTATTATTTTCTAATTCAACATCTTTATCAACGACTTGGATGATGGACTCAGGGGCATCCTGATCAAATTTGCAGATGACACCAAACTGGGAGGGGTGGCTAACACCCCAGAGGACAGGATCACACTTCAAAACGACCTTGACAGATTAGAGAACTGGGCCAAAACAAACAAGATGAATTTTAACAGGGAGAAATGTAAAGTATTGCACTTGGGCAAAAAAAATGAGAGGCACAAATATAAGATGGGTGACACCTGGCTTGAGAGCAGTACATGTGAAAAGGATCTAGGAGTCTTGGTTGACCACAAACTTGACATGAGCCAACAGTGTGACGCGGCAGCTAAAAAGCCAATGCAATTCTGGGCCGCATCAATAGGAGTATAGCATCTAGATCAAGGGAAGTAATAGTGCCACTGTATTCTGCTCTGGTCAGACCTCACCTGGAGTACTGTGTCCAGTTCTGGGCACCACAGTTCAAGAAGGACACTGACAAACTGGAACGTGTCCAGAGGAGGGCAACCAAAATGGTCAAAGGCCTGGAAACAATGCCTTATGAGGAACGGCTAAGGGAGCTGGGCATGTTTAGCCTGGAGAAGAGGAGGTTAAGGGGTGATATGATAGCCATGTTCAAATATATAAAAGGATGTCACATTGAGGAGGGAGAAAGGTTGTTTTCTGCTGCTCCAGAGAAGCGGACACGGAGCAATGGATCCAAACTACAAGAAAGAAGATTCCACCTAAACATTAGGAAGAACTTCCTGACAGTAAGAGCTGTTTGACAGTGGAATTTGCTGCCAAGGAGTGTGGTGGAGTCTCCTTCTTTGGAGGTCTTTAAGCAGAGGCTTGACAACCATATGTCAGGAGTGCTCTGATGGTGTTTCCTGCTTGGCAGGGGGTTGGACTCGATGGCCCTTGTGGTCTCTTCCAACTCTATGATTCTATGATTCTATTATTAGAAATAATCACAGCGAGAGAACAAAAAACACATCTCCTAGTAATGGCAGTGCTCCCAATTAAGTTCACTCCCCTCTCCGTCCCTACTAATATACATCACTCCTACATCTTGTAATCTGAGCTTGGAGCCTCTGCGCTTTCTGTTCTGTCACTTTCTGAGCTCTTCGGGACTTTGGGGAAGGGGGGTGGGTACTATCCAGAGACTGTGAATCTGTTAACTCTCTCTCTTCTAGTGTTTCTTCTGCTAGCTGTTCCCCATTCAGTATTTCCCAACCTCTGCCTTCTGAACTATGTCCCCCTGCAAACCACTATTCCAAATCTATATTCTCTTCCTGTTCCTGGGAAGATTCAGGATCAGGAGGAGGGAGAGGCTCCCACCATTCTTCCTCAGTGTAGCCTTCTTCAGCACGATCCCTGACAGATGATCAGCTTCACTAGACTGGTATATAAATTGTGGTTTCTGGGTCATCATTACCAGTTAAGGCCATTGCCTCTTTTAGTCTGTGGGAGCAGAAACAGAAAAGTCACATGGCATCTAAAAGTCTAACAGTTTTATTTTGTTATAAACTATAATGGGCCAGAATTCACCAAATTGGAAGCATAGTTTTTATATATGCCATGATAATAAAGAAGATGAGTAAGGATTTTTTTTTCTTAACTAAGTTCAATCAAAAGGCCTAGTGATGCAAAAAAAATTATGCATATAATAAATGAAAAGGAGACCCACTCAAAAGAGGACAATGCCCAGCTAGTGAATGGAAAGCAAGATGAATAGTGTGCACTACGTAGCTTTGGCTTGCATTTATGCATGTTCAATATGTGCGCAATTGTGCATAAGCACATTGCGCCAAACCTGGAAGTGACCCAAAAAGGGGCAGCGTGGAGGCGGGGGCAATACGGTGTGTGTGCAGGCATTTTCAGTGGTGTTTCAAATACATGATTTCAGTTAAATGTGCAGTGCCTTGAAAAGTAACCCCCACATAAATGGGGGTAGTCTGCCTGTAGTCAGGGTTGTTTGATTGATATTCTCTGAGTGGGAGCTAATGACTTGAAAGATCTCTTCCTGCCTAAATGCAGAACCTTACATTTGTCCCTATTGAAATTTGTTTTGTTAACTTGGGCCCAGTTCTCCAATCTGTTGAGGTCATTTTGAATTCTGATTCTGTCTTCTGCAGCAATAGCTACCCCTCCCAGTTTGGTGTCATCTGCAAATTTGATGAGCAGCCCCTCAATTTATTCATCCAAGTCATTTATAATGTTGAACAACAACAGTCCCAGGACAATACCCTGCAGCACCCCACTTGTCACTTTTTGCCAGGATGACAAGGAACCATTAATGAGTACACTTTGGGTTTATTTAAATAAATTATCCTTTAAATCTATTTAAATAAATTATCCTTACTTATCCTTACAATCAACATGGTTGAGATCAGGTTGTACATCACTGGCTAATTGGAACTAATTTCTTCTGCTTCTTTCCCTATTTCCTGAATAGAAACTAAGAAAGTTTGTAATGGTATGCTGTAAAAGATTTTAGGCCTACAGACAAAAATCTTTACTATTACAAACATTTGCTTTTTGCTTATACAACTTAAGTCATGTAAAATTACATCTATGTGCACTTTACACAAGTTGATGTTAATTAGCGTCTTCATTTGCGACATGTTTCCATGGTAGAAAGGAAGGAAATACAAATATGTCAAGATTTATGTGCTGATGAGAAGCTTAGCTGCTTCCCCTTTCTATTCTTCTTTGCTAGCATGCAAATCTAAATTAAAATTCAACATTTTTAAAATAACTTTCTGTCAAGCCAATTTGTCTGCAGAATTACTTAGCTAATGCATCCCAGTGATTCGCCACAATAATATTACAGTTGGGAAACATGAATACCAAAGTCCAAGCAAGTTCTGTATTCCTTGTAAGGAAGAAATGTGAAGCAGCTTTGAGAGTCCTCTTGTATTTATAAACAAAATCTGCTCTGTTCTAAAGAGGAGGGAGCATTTCAGCAGAGTGCAGCCAACATCTGCAAGATCATACTTGCTTTACAGTTTTGTCAACTGGTGAGAAACTTTACAAGAATATCCTCAGGCGATGAGAGGGCAGTGTAGCATCTGAAATTTGGGTTTATCCTTATCTGCAGAATAGCTATCATGATTTACACCTTTGCTCTTAATGTAGATACTAAGAAATCGATCAGATGCTTTAAAAAACTATAAAAATGCTAGTTAGCATAGAATGCTGATTACTGAAAGAAAGTGTGTTAAAAGAATGCAGGTTAATTATCTGCTGCACATAGGACCTTTTCTTTCAAATTGCTGCCTCCCACACTTTCCCCTCCCTCCATCCAGATTTTATCACAAACCCTTTTTGGAATATATCTGATACGAGAAAATCTGGATTGAGGGGAGGGGAAAGTGATTTAAAGGAGAACATAATGTAGACAATGGAGAATTCATGAAGGTACACAAAACTATCCACATTAGAGAACAGTATGAATGAGTCCATAGAGAGGCAAGGGAGGCAGCAGCATTAAAAAGAGAGAGGAGTCTGGAGCATGAAGCAGGTCGAAAGTAGATTCTTTTTGAATCTGCTCACTAAGCTAGTGCTTTATATAAAAACAATAAACCAACATGAAAATTTGTATTTAAGTATGTTTTCTATCACAAAATAAACATTTAAATACATATTTTATCTCAATATGCACATTGCTAAACATATTTGCATTATGGTATCCTTTTTTTTTCTATTGAGAACTGCATCACATAATTCAGAGAAGTAAAATCCAAAGGATCTTTATATTCTAATACACAGATTAGGTCAGTTTCATGCTGAAATTCAGAGAACTCTAATTTCTTAAGCATCCCCAGTGGAAGGGAGATCTTCTTTAAGTGTCTGCTGTGAACTGGAAAATCATCCTTTGCACCAGGACACTGGAGTCACAATGTTATTCTCTAAAATTTACAGTGCCTGGAACCTTTAGATATCAAACTGCAGTTTGTTTTCTACAAACATAAATCACCATATGTCTATGGTTTATGATATATATCACCATATATATCACCACTGCAGCTTGATATCTAAAAGCTAAGTGTTCCAGACACTGTAAATTTTAGAGAATAGCATTGTGACTCCTGGTGTATAACTATGGGCATGGATAAGTTCCTTGTGTCTTTCTGAACTCCAAATGGTACAGAGATTTCTGGGGGAAGGTTATGATGGGATAATGCAGGCACTGACAAGTCGTGGGTTCCTGCAGAGCGCTTGTAAAACAGGGTCAAAAATAAAAAACAAATAAGAAGCTTGGGAGGGAAAGGCAAGGAGAAAAAGAGCCACCAAACCTAGCTGGAAATTCTTTTTAAATTATTATTTATTGACAGAGGGACTTGACTAAAACAAGGGGAGGAAATATGTATCTGCATTGTTGGTGGGATTTCTCCTTTACTGCCATAACTGGTGGGTGCAAAAATGGGGGGGGGGGGGCACAAAGGAGTTATTTTCTATGTGGGGTCTAAACTTTGATGGAGGCACTTCCAGCTTCCGACGATGAGATATGGTGGCCTCCCAAGAGATCAGACAGCCAGTCATGCCAGTAATTCAGGGTTAAATGAGGGTAATTAACCCTGACCACCCCCGGGGGGGGGGCTGCGCTACCCGCAGACCGTCCATTATTTGCGCTCTGCAACAAGATGTGGAGGCAGGGGGATGCTGGGTGATGTCCAGACATGAATATGGCAACTCTCCAAAGTCAGTCTCATCAGCCAGGAGTCCCTGTTTCTTAAAAATTAAAAGATTTGGGGGGGAAACAGGTATGTTCTGGCAGGAAAGAGTTAAAAGAAAAATCTGCTAAACTACACAGTCGTTGGAGGCCAAGTTCCAGACTTCAAAAAGACTCCTTTCTTGTCGTCTTGATGAATGAGGTGAGCGGCTGCCGTACTTTTGTATTCATTATAGCTGCTATTTCATGATTTGGCGAACCTCGTCAAGAAAGAAATAATTACTCAAAGGAAACACAGGAGGCGTAAAATTAATTGGATGTATCGGAATCACAGTCCTCGGCGGAAAGCCCCAATCAAAAATTGGCAGAGCAAGATCAGATATGATCGCTTAGGCTGAGGAAGATGGCGGCGACTATGACGCAGTTAGAAGAATGAAAGTAACAGTCTCCTTTAACGAAAGGAGGTCAGATATTTTGTATTTGTACTACAAAAACTATGAAGGGGGTGTACTTTACAAAAGATGCATTTGCTTTCATGGAATATTGTTACATATAGCTTGAAGAGAGTGCAGCGATGGACTCTGGATGCCTGCCAGCTGTCCGAGGGCCCTGGAGGGCCGGTGTGGGTTTTTATGAGGAAATCTGAAACAATCTTTGTGTTATGTACTGATTGCCAAGTACATCCCTACAGTATATATGAAACATCAGCATGCTTAGAAAGATTAAAGATGTCACCAATTAACTTCAACCCTGGATGAAAGCCCAGAGCCTCCTTAGAGCAAGAATCAGCAGGAAAAAAGGAGGGGTAATCAAAAGAGGACTTGTGTTTTTAAAATATTAAGACTGAGAACAATATGGAAAAATTGCCCCCTACGTGACTATAAATAAGGAATGGTAAAATAAAACGAGAGAGAGAGAGAGAGTTATACCAGCGACTGTTGGAGGAGATGAGCAATATCAGCAGAAAATAAAGAATGGATATTAGCTCTTGAAATACAGAACACGGGAAGTCGCTATTGAAATTAATTAATTTGGACTATATAATTGGATGTATTGTTTTTTGTTTTTTGTATTTGGAAAGATTTGTTAATTTGTTATCAATATGAAATTATTTTTTTTAAAAAAAACTTTGATGTATTTAATGTATTTATGGTGTTATTCCCGATGCTGCTGCTTCTGGTGCTTCTCAATAGCCATTTAATTGAGGCACAGAAAGCATTGGTTTCTGTGGGATTGAGTGGGATGCCTGCACATTCCAGAAGTCCAATTCCTGCTGGATAGAGGGTGGGAAGTCCTTTTTTTATCCCTGCCAGTAGGAAAGCTTAGGGTGTACATTCAACCTTTTTTGTCGTTCACGGCCATCTCATATTCTCAGGCAAAATGGGGAAAGTTTTAGTCAACGTATTGTGGAAACACTTATATGGCATTGCCTTCAGTTTGCATGATAAAACTAAATATTTTGCCATAGTTTTTCAGTGCACAGGATTTCTCTAATTTTAGAGTATTCCAATGTTTATTTCAAAAGTGCACTGCATAGTTACACATGTTTTTCTAGGGCATTTCCTTTCACAATTCCAGCAGTTTAAAAGTTCGGTCCTGTAAAGATTTTACATGTAACATTGGAGAGAGCCCCCACCATTACACTTGGACTGAATACAAGATGAAGTCTTTGCAGAACTAGCATGTGGCTCAAACCTGCGGTTGTATTTCTTTTCCAGGACAATCTCACTCCATGAGATTGTCCTGTAAAAGAGAGCATAGTTCTTAACCCCAGCTTAGCAGAGATGGTGTGGTGTCTTGGTGTGTGGTTATGATCCAGGTTGTCAGTAGGGTGTCCAGATTAAAGACAGCTACTGCGCTTAAAATACTTGTGTAGAAGTGGGAATTGAGCTGCACTTTCTGAAATTGCCACTTCACAATGGAGCCCTTTCCTCTTTTTCACTTGGCCACCCGAGTTGCTAGCAGACCATATGCATGAACAGTGATGGTGGCCCATTCTCCCACATGCGCCTTCTGCTCTGGCAAAAGGAGGACAGCAGAATGGAACCCAGCACCAAAAGAATTTAAGTCATCATTCTCCCAATTCACAAACTGTGGCTCCCAGCCAAATTGTTGGGTTCCCAGCCCCTGCCACCCCTAGCCTGCATTCCTAGATGATGGAAGTTGTAGTCCAGCAACACTGGAGGGTCACAGATTTGTTATCCTGATCTAGAGGGACTACATATGCAAGTAATATAATTGACTACACATAATTGCTGCTGCACCACCCTGACCTTGACTCTGCTTGGTGCAGGTTTTGCTAAAACAGTAAATTGTCATAACTTGGGATTAAACATGTCGGTAGTGCTGCTAAGTAGAATTGTTTTCAGTGTGGACACCATTTAACTCAAATGGAAATGCGTCATGGGAAGAGACAGGACTAACTACTGCTTTTCACTCCAGACATACCTGAGGAGACCTGTAGTGCATTTGTGATAACTTTGCAGCCTGTAAAACACACACACACAAATCTGGACATATTTCCTGTCTAACAAACCTCTGGCAACAGAGTCAATTCTTTTTCAAATGATTTATTTTCCAAAGTACTGTGAGATGAACAAGAAAACAATAGGAAATGTTCTGCCAACGTAAAACACTGAAATATTTGAGACATTTTGACCCATCTAATTAAGACTAGGGAAAGAACTCTTGTTTAAGAGGCTGGGCCAGTTAAAGGACATTTCCATGTTAATTGATGAAAGCAGGATTAACAGGAGATAGAAAGTGAAAAATGGGACAGTGAGATAGTTTTGATTTTATGGTGTCCTGTTTTATCTCTATCTTACATAGGTTAACAACTATGCTTGTTTCTTCTTTCAAGACCTATATCCAACAGAGACTCATTCTAAGGTCTACACACTACAAGAGTTTCCAGCTCTGTTAAATGGCCCTTCTCCTGTGCCTTTAATGTAGCACCTTGCATGTAGAAATTCAAGCAACACGTTTTCCCATAGCATTATATCTCTATGCCACTTTACAAATTCCTATGTAATTACTCTGTTTAAATGCACAGCACCATCCCCAGTTTATGTTTTTCAAAAAATAAAAAGGTAGCCTTATCAAAAAACATGCTGTCTACATTTTGTGAACATTACGTAGAATGCCTTCAAGTCTCCTATTTGAAAGGTCTGATCAGTTAGGTTTTTCTAAATTCTAGAGCTATTGCTTTACATTAAATGTCTAGAGACCTCAGTTTCCCTAAATATTTAACTCTGCCAAGAATTTCAGAGACTATAGAACACTTTCTTGTAAATTTAAATTATGTACAAAGACTATTATGAAGCTTCTACAGAGTAGCACTCTTAACTGTATTCAGATGCAGTTAATAAAGCTGAAATATACATTCTTTGTGGCATTTGGTAGAAACAGCCAGATACTGTGTTGCATTCAGAATTCTGGATTAATTTGCTTTAATTCTAAAGTGTAGCTTCCTTACATCGCCCTTTTTTCCATTACCTCTTACTTGCTTAAGCAGCAGTTTAAAAAGAAAGACAAATTATACTAGTTTATCAATGACAGTGGGAACACAGATCCTTTCTAGCACATTATGGAATTATTAGTTTTAATGGTTTCATCAATAAAGTGTGCACAAGTTCACTTCCATCAAAAGAGGGGAAATAATCATTCTCTGAGATAAATGAAACCTGGTCAAAATGCAAAGGTAATTGTGTTATCTGTGTAGCAAGCAAATCTCAAAAATAGTTGTGAAACTCACTAAAGATAAAATTCAGTCTATGTTAGAAATAGACAGAATTAGTGTAGCTTAAATTAAAACCATGAATGTATGTGTAATGATTTCAATAGCCTTGGGTGTTGTTTTTGAATTTTCTGGCCATTGCAAGTGGAGCATGCACTGATAATTTTGTTCTCCATGGATCTAGTGAATCCCCTTTTATAGCCATCTAAGCTGTTGGCCATCACAACAACTCTGCAATCCAGTTCCATCAATTATTTATTTTTGTGTTCATTTTTATTTTAAAAAATAAACACAAATGCTCTGTCTTTCTTTACTTGTCCAAGGAGACTCCCAATATTGTTAAAAGACTAAAACATTATTATTATTATTATTATTATTATTATTATTATTATAAAAAAGCTTTGTTCAGACTGTGTTGTACAGGTCTGAAGGTCCTGAGTTGCTGGAAGATAATAAAGGATTTTAAAAATAGGAATAAAACATTAAAACTTCAGCTAACAAAACAAAAACTAAGCTGCAAAGAATAGCAAAATACAAAACAGTCTATGAAAGCAAAATCTATGAAAACAACACCAGAAAACAAAACAATGAATAAAATTGACACATCACAGTGACATAAAAGCATCTTCCCCTACTATTAAAACTAGTTATAGGATGAAGGCGATTCTAAGAAGAAAGACTTT